CACTTGATGCTTTTCCGTATTATTGTGGCTTATGATACCATATGGTCGCTCCTGTCGGTGTCAGGTTTTACATTATTATATGCCATTATCACCAAAGACTTCTGAAGTCATAGTGGGTGCATGTTTTGTTGATAATATTCTAACATCTCGAACACCTCTCCATTTTAGCACCGCAATACCGCTGTCATTTTCTCGTGCTGTCATTTCACCTCTCTTCAATGGGTGCGATATTACAAAACTTGGCGTAAATTTTTTGTTGTATCGTACAGTTCCAAAGACATGCGTCTTAAAATTTAAACATTTGACTGCTAATTCATAACTTGTATAATAGTTATCGATAAACAAAGTTTGCCTTCCTTTAGTAATTTATCTGCAAGTTCGATGCAGACGTCTTCGGCTATGCCAACTTGTTTTCTTCCGTTGATACCTCATCTAGAATATGGAATGACAGTGTATAAAATTTACTTTAAAACGGCAGTCGGCTTAACATAAAGTACATAATTGTAGCAGAAATATTTTGAAAAAAAAAAAAAAAACTTCATAATTTTTGCTAAGGCTTTTATTCTGCTTGAGTGCTAATAAGCCAAATTTGTTACACTAAGCATTCAAGCTTGTTTTTCCTTCTTAAAAGCATGGGCGAAAAAATCCTTACTATTAATTATTTCGGAAGAATTCCTTATTCTTGCGAAACTAACTACATTTTAACAAGTCATGCATTATATTATCTATCAAACAACTTCAAACCGTCAAAAGCGTTTCTGACAGCCAGACAAAGCAATTTTGAAATTATTTAAAAATATTCTTACCTTTCTTACCGTTTCCTTTCTTTCGAACGTTTATTACTCAGTCGTAACATATGACATGATCAAGAAAGTGATCTGTTATTTCCTAATTTCACTCTGAATACGAAAATTCAAATTACACTTCCTGTTCGCAATAGGAACACTGGAATTATATCGCTATAGTACAGTGTCGAGAAAGCATCTTATTCAGTAAGCATAACAAATAATAGGAGTATTTAATCGAAAATATTCTTCAGTTCACTATAAACGTAAAATTAGAATGTGAATCGGAAGTAAACAGAATAATAATAATGATAATAATAATAATAATAATAGACCCAAGAATTTTGAATAATTTATGTACTGGAAAAGTCACACGTGTTTCTTAAAAATTTTAAATTAATAATGGATTTGGCTTCTAAGTTTTAAATTAGTGAATTTCCTATGTATCAACAATAACAAAATCTTTTCTTTTAAAGGAAGGAATTTCTTTTTTTGTCACAGCGCTGCTAGGACTTAATAGTAGTTTTCAAAGGAATAATTTTCGCGATTGGAAATTAACAGTGCTGCTAAAATACTAGAAGTAATTGCTTTACTATTCGAAAAATAATGAATTCTAATGAAGAAGTGAAGTGCGATTTGCTCTACTGATTTAGTTAAGAGAAATTTGCATGTTTTGATAGTACTGATTACAAGAAAAGTGTGTGTGTGTGTGATTATGGCAAAGCCTCGAGGGCTATCTGCCTAAGGGGAGAGATGCCTTCGTGGAGGACTTTCTAAGGGGAACTGGCTCGTATACACGTTACACATGGGGAAAACCACGAAAACGCCCATGCAGCCAGCCCGTTCGCGGGATTCGAACCTCGGACCGAACTACCAGTGTTCAGCGACTTTACCGCTCGGCTACAAGAAAAGTGAAAGATCGTAATGTTTGATAAAATTATCATAAAGTTGATAAAATGGAAATTAATATTTGGATAAAGTGGAAAGTAATATTTAAGAAGTGGAAATTAATATTTCTCTCAAAATGTTGAATGCGAAATATTTTATGATTACTGCATTTTCCTTCGATTTTGGAATTTCAGTTCAATGAACGACTGGTGGAATTTTTATTCAAGGTAAAAATGTAATTAAAAAACTGTTGCGATATTAGTTAAAATATAATCAGTCTATTTATCTGCGTTATCACTGAATTATACTTCACTGACATTTTTGTAAATTAATCTCTTTTAGCGCAACTTCAAAATTCGACAGGTGAATGTAAATTGCGTAATAGGGAAAAAAAACTGTGCCGAAAAGATATGTCGACTGAGAGGAAACGTCTTGCTGTTAACGCTTGCTCCAGATGGCTTTTCCCAAACTTCAATAACTGCACTAAAATAAGGTCACAAGAGCTTGGAAAGTGAACTGTGATTAAAAAAAAGAAAGCTACTATACAGGAAGATGCGTCATTTTGTTAGTGGGTTTTATTCTTCCTTTCGTAATTGCCCGTCGCATGTATACGATACTAGCTTACAGACGTGAAACCATCTTGGTGCAAAATGTATGTTTTAAAATTTTATGCAGATGCTACAACATTAACGCTTTCACACATTTTTAAGAGCACTTAATGCGGTTTATTGTATTGTTTCCCAAACAAAACTATTTTTAGTCCAAAGGGGCTTTGTCCCTGAAGGACTATTGCTTTCGTTTTGCTATTTTGCGTTGGTTCATTATAAATGTCGGTTTCACTTTTCAAACTGTTGCCACCAAATGTTAGAGTCCTGCATTATATTTGAAGAATTTAAATAATGAAAAATCTGCATAAATGTATGTGTATTTCTCGCATTGTGATAAAACAACGGTATATAGAGCCATCGAATTTTGAATGACGTAATGCTACTGCGAGTATGGACATCTGGAAGCCAAAATTTGAAATTTGGAATTTCTTTTATTATCGATTTTATATTTTGTAAAACTTCAACGAATTTTTGATGAACAAACTCAAGGATTTCAAAGCGAGCAATGGCAACGTTGTACAACGCTGATAAAACGGAACAGCTTCCGTCCTAATGCGGCCTAATAGGCGCCTATCGGAATTAAATGCCGCCCCGCCATTTGATCAATCCACAATGCTGCGACCCCACAGATCAAGGGCAGACAAGGCAGTACCAGTACGGTACCTGCCGAGCCTTACTCTGTCCCGAGAGCCCTCAGGCCTTCCGTGAAGTCTGTTATTATGCCTCCGTGCTTGAGACTGCCTAGGTACAGATTCTAACCAATACTTCCCAGGCGTTCGCCTGAGTCAACCCCCGGGGGGCAACGTTGTACAGAAAAACCATTCTTATCTCCAGCGCGTGAGATCGTGTATCGGAAATTCTAAAGATATGCTCAATTTAAAACTATTTTGCAGTATTGCTCTTGAATTGAATTTTATGGTTTAAGTGCGAAGAACGTGATATTTAATAAATAAAGGTAACAGACAAAGTGTTTAAAAAAAGTCCTTTTATACGTAATTTAAAATTCTTTTTTTTTTTGTAAAATTATTTTCGAGGGTTGCTTTCCATTCTGGGAAATCCCTTACGTTTGGTTAACAGTAATTCTTCCCAATAAATGTTTTCGCAAAGAGCTTATTTTTTCGAAATATATTATTCTTATACTGTTGAGTCTGACACAGAGGACACTGTGTAGAAAAAGGTTCAGTATTGTAATTACGGGTGGCAGGAATATTATAGGTGAGATGTAATCGAGGGTACTACGTGTTATTGTTTGTATACAGTTAATTAAAGTGTTACAGTTTAAAATTTGGAGTTATTTTCATGAGTGTAATAATGTTTAGTGTGTTTTGCGATCATTCAATAGTGACCAAACTCTTGGTAGGTGCTAAGCGAATTTTTGCTAAGTAACAACTGAAACTCGAGAAGAGTGTGGGGGGGGGAACAAAAAAAAACCCTTCTTTATTTAAAAACTAAATAAGAACAGAAGGCGCACTTGGTGTTTACAATTCAGACAACCACCTGTGGCGAGGTAACTTAAAATAACACTAAGTTCAAATATAAGTTAGACTTAAATAAGCTTCAAAGCGGTTAACGCAAAGTTGGATTAAAATTTAACCGGCGTTTGTATTCAGCTATCGGCAATTACATTGCAAGGCCAAAGACATCAGATATCTTATCGAGCATCATAGTAACGTGGTCTCGATAGGCAGAACAGGCTCTGTCTTACAATCTAAAAAACCTCACCTTAAATGCAAGCTAATTAATTTACATTCTGGCGGGAAAACGGAAGGGTGAACTGACAATAAAGACCCGAAACATAAAATAACTGGTTAATTAACATAAAGAAACTTTACAATGTAATTCACACATAGGGTTGTTTTGATCGATTACCAATTTAATTTCTAATTTGGTCTTTCGTTAAAAAATAATGGATAGAACTTTTCCTTTTCGGATTCAATTGTTTATTTAGCTTCCAATATGAGTTTCCTTGAGCACAAGAAAAAATTAAGATGTGAATTTATAAGGTATTCTCCAACCTTCTCAGCATGACTTCGTGGTACAGTGGTCGGCACGCTCGACGTGTATTCGAGAGGTCCGTGGTTCAATTCCCGGCGAGGGCATTGCTCATTTTTCATTTCTCCTGCTTTCAAAAATATCTAATGTTTCTACAGTGGCGCCCGAACTAAAAAATGTGGTGAATGATGATTCTTCACCTCCAGGATTTGGCGATTGGGTCCCTTAAACCGCAGTTGCCTTTTAAAAGGGGAGTATATAAGATATTTCTTCCCGCCTTTTTAGCATGCCTTCGTGGTGTAGTGGTCAGCACGCTCGACGCGTATTCGAGAGGTCCGTGGTTCGAGTCCCAGCGAGGGAACTGCTCAGTTTTCACATCTCTTCTTTCCAATTAACCTAATGTCTCTACAGTGGCGCCCGAACTAAAAAATGGTGAATGATGATTCATCAATAGTGGGCGCACCTCGGAGTATATAAGGTATTTCTCCCACCTTCTCAGCATGCCTTCGTGGTGTAGTGGTCAGCAGGCTCGACGCGTATTCGAGAGGTGTATGGTTCGATTCTTGGTGAGGGCACTGTTCATTTTTTCACCTCTTCTGCTTTTAAAAATACCCAATGTCTCTACAAATTGTTCCATGTATAGAAATAAAATTAAACTTAACTGTGCATAGTTTGTAAGGTCCTATACTTTGTGAAACTGACTCAAAATTTCTTTAAATCCTAACAGCTTGCCAAGCGATTTTTCGCTCCTTCTGTGAAGCAAAGTTCCACAAAGTTCTGAAAAGGTAAATAACTTTTTTATTTAAATCTTAAACTTAATAATGTCACAGCTTATGCGCACAAATTAAACTGAATCACTTTCGGGTATTAACTAGCCGGTGAGCAGGTGAGAGCGGGTCCAGACACCCGGGCAGCTTACATAGACTGATCGGTTGTCATCTAGATTCCACAACTGTCTAGAGCAAGGGTCTTCAAACTACGGCCCGAGTGCCGAATCTGGCTTGCGAGCACTAATGATCCGGCCCGCCAGGGTTTCCTTTAAACTAATTTAATAAAATTTAAAGTAACAAATAACGTATACATTAATCATTTTACATAACAGCCAATCTAGAAATGCGCTGCCTATCACGCATGTTCTTTATAAAACATATTATAAACTTTACACAACCTTTTTCTAAATTTACACTGAGTGAAATACAGCAGCACACTATATAAAAAAAACTCATGTGGACACACATGACTTTCTCATACGTCCTTGAAATTACACGCATTTTTTACCGCACTTCATTTAAACTTATTTCCTTGAATTTTATTAGTGATATATTTGTCATTCAATCAATTTAGTTCTCACTTCGTGAAAAGACAAAAAAAAAAAAAAAAAAAAAATAAAAAAATAAAAAAAAAAAAAAAAAAAAAAATAAATAAAAACTCAAAACATCTTTTAAAAAAAAAGAAGAATCACCCCAGAGTTTAAAATGTAAACAAATGGCGACTTCGTTATGTTGCACTGAAACAAGTTTTAAACTGTTCATAATTCTACAACTATTGCATGCAGACTAATTAAAGCCATAGTAAAAGCCTTAACCAGAATATAAGAACAACATAACTGAGCCATTTCTAAAGCAAAAAATGCACAATTTACAAACACATAAGAATAAAAAATTTTAGCTCACGGAGCCGGGTAGCAGAGTGGGTAGCTATAGTACATAGACTTCTGACGTATCCGATTGCAACGAAAAAGGGAGGCGCACAACTACATGTTATAGCAGTCCCATATACAAAATTTCAACTTTTTGAGGCTACTCGTTTTTGAGATATGTGGGATACATAAATACGTACTTACGTACAAGTACAGACGACACGAAAAAAATCTCTCTGGAATCCATTTTACTATCTGTTTTGGGAAAAGAAGTCCTTTATTCTGTTAGTATGTACAGTTGTCATGAGAAAAAAAAAATCGTTCAAAGCGTATCGAGAGCGGTGAAAATGGATACCTTCTTTTAAATATGATAACCGAAATTTTTCACGATTTCAATTCTTCATTTACTTCTTAGAAAGAAGTAAAAAATTCTCATTGTGTTTTTATAAGAATAAATGTTAGAATAAATTAGTGTCACTTTTTCATAATGAAACTCGGCAACGTCAAAAAAACAAACGAGCGCCAAACGATATATGTATTGGCGAGAGAGAATTCTATTTATGTTCAGATGCAGAAGTCTTGAGAAGATTTTGTACTAGCATTGAATGTGTACTTCATTTCTTTTCAGCACGTTACCTTCTTCTGTGGAATATGCTCCTGATGATATTGCCTAGTAGGTAAGCCTGAAGATATTTAAAACTTTTAAATGAATCTTTTGTAAGTTCTATATTTCAACACCTCGATTTCTATGTTTGTAAAGACTGTTAACTTTGATTTGTATTCTATATGTGTTCTATCTGAGCTAAGCAAACTCTGTAACTTGTTAAATAAAGATTCCGTAGTTATTCTAACTTGTGATTCTTTAATAAAACTATGCTAAATAGAGGACAGTGTACTCAGACGCCCTAACTATATTAACTACAACCACTTATCAATAAATGTTCAGTGTGTTAGCTTTCCTACTTTCATAGTAGTATTCTAAGTTGATTTATAGGCATTTTCAGTAGGGATTTATTTAAATCTTAATTTTTGTTCTGTTTAGTTGTAATTAATTTTAATTTTGGAGGATTTTTTTCAGACAAAACTTACCTAAATATGGAATACTTCAGTGCGAAAGTTTGCACCTGATCAAAATGTAAGCAAAATGCGTTGATAAATTGTGACAACGGAGAGGTAAATCCATTGAAAAATAAAGTACATACTAAACCGAAAAAATCTCTAATATTCTGGGACAAAAATACATTTTTGAAAATCTCTAAAAAAAGCTTTAAGAAATTTATGTTAGGTGAAACTGCATAAAAGTCTAAACAACAGGACTCTCCGTAAGATCATAGGTATAAATCCAATCACAGAAATTCTGCCGTTAAAACCTTATGCTGCCATCATAGTTCATCGCGTGGAGAGATTACTGATCTTGGTCCTCGAGCTCTGAAGAGCCAATTGCCCGGGCGATTGGAGACTCCTGTTCAGCAGGATTCCCACTTTACAATATTTCGCTAATAAAGAAAATTACAGTTACCAGTGAAAGGAGAAACTGTTTTAAATCTGCATACCTTCGGTGAAAAGAACGGAAATTGGCGTCGAAAGAAAGTTGAACTTACGCTCCGAATATTAATGACCCTGAAAAATCCATAAATCTCGAAGTCATTGAAGTACCAGTCATAACAAATGCCGATATACGAGTACCAGATGTAGAAATGAAATCCAAATCCAAATCCAATCCAGCATTCGGCGTCACTTTGACAGACTGCGGCGGCGCCGGTGGAATGAGTCATATTTCCGTTTTAATCGGCGCGGACATTATGTGGAAAATAGCAAGCGAAGAAATAAAAAGGATAAACAGAAATGCCGTAGCGATGAAAACCTTGTTTGGGTGGTGTATACAAGGCAAATTTTCTTCATCACACTTTGAAATCCATGATGCGTGTTTGAACGTAAGTGTAGAAGAGAAACTTCTAAAAAGCGTCGAATCGTTTTGGGATATTGAATCTATAGGAATTAAAAATATTTCTGACGAAGAACAAAATGAAATGGCCTTGCAAATATTTAACAACTCGATTACACAAAAGGGTGATAGATACGAAGTTAGACTTCCATGGAAAGATCAGAATGTGACTTTAAGAGACAATTTTAAGAATGCTGAAAGACGATTTTTAAATCTGATCGAACAATTTAAATCAAACTTGAACTTTTATGCGCAATATAAAGAAGTGATTGACTATCAGCTTAAGGAAGAAATCATAGAAAAGGTCGATCTTGGTACTCCATCTGGGAGACGAACTTACTACATACCTCACCGTGCTGTCATCCGTGAAGATCATAATTCTACAAAACTTCGCATTGTTTATGATGCTTTTTCAAAGGAAAAAAAATCATGAATCTCTAAATGATAATTTACTACAAGGACCAAATCTTCTTCCTGAACGTTTGAAAGTTCTAATAAATTTTCGACTTCATCGAATTGCATTTACGTCAGATATTGAAAAAGCGTTTTGCAAATTTCTGTTGCACCTGAAGATCGGGATTCAATGCGATTTTTGTGGATTGATGAGAATTCAAGTTTGAGCAATCCGAGAATTCAAGTTTATCGGATGTGTCGTGTAATTTTTGGAGCAAAATCAAGTCCATTTTTGCTGAGCGCTTGCATTAAGCATCATATAAAGAAATTTGAAGACATCCATCCCAGAACTGTAGAAATGTTAGAAAACTTCATGTATGTTGACGATTTTATTTGTGGATCAGATACGGAGGAGGAAGCTATACAGATATATCATGAAGCCAATGATATAATGAAAAAGGCATCAATGACTTTGACCAAATGGAATTCTAATTCGGATACTGTAAAAAACCAGTATAAATCAAGTGACAACTTCGTTAGCTTTAAATTGCCTGACTGTGATTCCCCCTCAAAGATTCTTGGACTTCAATGGGATACAATTAAGGATATCTTCTGTTTTAATGCACAAGACGTTATTGATTTCATCCAGTCAAATGACCAAACAAAACGTTGTGTTTTAAAAGCTGCTTCAAAAATCTTCGATCCTGTTGGGTTTCTTGCTCCATATGTTATTCAAGCAAAAGTTCTGTTTCAGGATTTATGGCTGAAAGGTGTTGATTGGGATGAAATTATCCCACCAGAATTGCAAGACAAGTGGAACAAATGGTATAGGCAACTATGTGATCTACCTAATATCCAGATACCTCGGTGGTATTTTCGTGATGTTGATGAAACACCTGAAACACTGGAACTACATTGTTTTTGTGATTCATCTCAAAGTGCTTACGGAGCAGCAGTGTACGTGAAATTCCGTAGCTTAAAATATTGTGGAACAAGTTTAGTGATAGCCAAGAGCAGAGTGGCTCCCCTGAAAAAATTATCTTTACCAAGACTCGAGCTCATGGCAGCAGTGTTAGGTGCAAGACTTGTAACTACAGTCCGTGTGCATTTTCCTCAAGCTAAGATTCATTTATGGACAGATTCTCTTATTGTGCTTCATTGGATAAAAAACTCACCACGGCGATGGAAAACATTCGTACAAAATCGAGTGTCTGAAATTCAAGACAAAACATCCCCGAGCATGTGGCATCATTGTCCTGGCTCAGATAATCCAGCCGATAAAATCACACGTGGTGTTAAAGTGAGTGATCTTGTAGTAGATCAAGTGTGGTGGCATGGACCTCCATGGCTTCATCAAGATGAAATAAATTGGCCTAAAGTGAACGAGCATTGTAACATAGTAGATAGTGTTGAAGAAAGAGTTGTGACTCAAGTTACTAGCAGTGTTCAACCTTTACAACCTGTGTTAAAAATAGAAAACTTTAGTGACTTAGGTAAACTTTTAAGAGTCACGTCATATGTATTTAGATTCATTAATAATTTAAAGTCACAGAATAGAGTGATTGGTCCTGTGACCAAAAATGAAATATGTAATGCTATGTGTTATTGGATTATCTTATCACAAGGTGAGTATTTTTTTTGAAGAGTTGAATGATGTTAAATGTAAAAAACCATTGTCTCATAATTCCAAATTGTTTGGGTTAAATCCAGTAATGGATGAAAAGGGTTGTTTAAGAGTTGGAAGTAGATTAGTGAAAATCATCATTAGATGTCGATGAAATTCAGCCTATAATATTACCAAATAATTATTTTTCTCGTTTAATTATTTTGAATTGTCATGAAAAGGTACTTCATAGTGGTGTAAATGAAACTTTAGTGCAAGTAAGAGGGAAATTTTGGATTTTAAAAGCCAGACGTTTTGTAAAATCTGTGTTACATGATTGTAGATTTTGTAAAAATATAATGCTAAAGCTGGACACGAGATATCGGCTCCTCTTCCAGCTGACCGAGTGGAGAAAGCTCAACCATTTGAGGTAAGTGGCATAGATTTCGCTGGCCCTTTGTATTTAAAGGATGGTACAAAAGTGTATATTTCATTGTTTACCTGTGCAGTGACTCGAGGAGTCCATTTAGAATTGTTATCAAATTTAAGTGCAGAGTGTTTCATTCAAGCCTTACGTAGATTTTTTGCACGTAGGGGTATTTGTAGAGTTATATATTCTGATAATGCTAAAACCTTTAAAACTGCTGATCGTGAATTAAAATATTTGTATAAATTATGTAAAGATGAAAAGGTTCTAAATTTCCTTGGTAAAAATGGGTTTGAATGGAAATTTATTGTAGAAGGTGCTCCTTGGTGGGGCGGATTCTGGGAACGTTTGGTAAGATCTGTTAAAAACTTGTTTAAAACGTATCTTAGGTAAAGCTTCTTTATATTATGAAACTGTATACTGTTTTAGTTGAAGTTGAAGCTGTTATTAATTCTAGACCTATAACGTATGTATACAATGAACCAAATGAACCTGATCCTCTTTCACCATCTCATTTTATAACTGGATCTAGATTGACTGTTTTACCTTCACCTGAATCTAAACTAGAATCTACAAGATCTCAGTTGATTAAAAGATGGAAGCATAGGCAATTAATATAGAATTATTATTAGAGCATTTTTGGAAAAGGTTTTATAAAGAATATTTGTTAGAATTAAGATCAGTCATGTTTTCAAAAACTCCAAAGAATTCTCCCGTGTTTAAAACGAATGATGTTGTACTTGTACGAGAAGATAATGTGAAACGCTGTAACTGGAAGATAGGATTAAGGAATTATTCCACGGAAGAGATGGTAGAATTAGATCTTGTGAGATTCTGTAGGATAAGGATGTTTTTAGAAGACCAATTGAAAGACATTATAATCTTGAAGTTCAGTAAAATTGCATCCGTTTACGGATGCATGGGGGGAGTGTTAAGTTTAGGATTGTGTATATTGCCAATAGATGGCGGTAGTGTTTGTGTAAAAAGAAACTGTGATGTCATAACGTATCAGTTCGTCAATAAACGTTGTTTGGAATAACGCTCTCTGTTTATTACCTTAACTTCGATCCAGTATGATTTATTACCCACCTTTTTGTCCCTAAGAGCACATTCTAGAATATCTCTTGGACGGCTGGCACCATTTACTTTTTCAAGGTGGATTTATGGTTGGATAGAGTTACGTGCACATAAAAAAAAAAAAAAAAAAAAAAAAAAAAAGAGATCGGTCGCATTTCGCTTTGTACTGGTTTCTATGTTGGACGCAATTTATATTTTATTAAAAATTAGAAAACTTTTGCATAGAATTTTAGTGAAAACTAAAACATTTTTATTGTGACACAGGCACACGCTAAACGATCGCCTGCGCCATGGTGCCCGCAAGCATAGGGTTTGGAACCCCTGGTCTAGAGTATGGAGGTAAGAATAACTCTTACCTTCATGTAGGAATGGAGGTAGACCTTGCTTCCTACCTAAATTCAGATGG